GTCAATAGTAGTCGACTACAGAGACAATTTTTCCAGTATTCAAAGTTTAAATTTTTGACTGTTTATACCCGTTTTTAAACGTTTTTAAAGTTCAAAAAATTGTCTTTTCAAGGGCTATAAATAGGTTATTTGTTCAGAAAAATTACAGAGACTTATATACCCATAAGCTTTGATCTTTGTGCAATTTTTCAAGTGAAAAATATTCAGATTTTGTGAAAAAGGAGAGTTTTTAAAATTGCCTATATACTTTCATCAAAAACAAATCAATTAGGCAATAAGAATCCTAAGCCACTGCTACACTTCACTACACATTCAAGGCTTATAGGATCAATTGTGTTCTTTCTTCAACAAGGATTTCTCTCGGGTTTGAGAGGGTTAATCTCTTGGTTTAGAGATTGGTGTTCAAATTGGTAAGGTGTTTGTCAATTGGTATTGCAATTTGTAGGGACTTGCTAATTGGTCAGGTTTGCGTTTGATTTTGTAAGTTTATTCAAAATTATAGTGAAAACTCTCAAGCGGGATTTGCTTGGGGACTGGATGTACACCGTATTGGTGGAACCAGTATAAAATCCTTGTGTTTGTGATTGTGAATTTCTGAGATTGCCATTTTTCTTTGCAATTTATAATATACTTTGCATAAATGTATTGAAGATGTCTTCTTTTTAATATTATGTTAGTATGTATACTTATAACATAAGTATGCATGTGTACTGAGGATATATGAGTATTCAGATTAATATGATTCATCATATATCAGATATTTTTATTTTGGAAGCATGTTATAAGGCCACCAGTGGTTATATGTCTATGAAATGTGTTTCAGATCTTGTATTTTATATCAAATGTGTACATTCATAGCTCATGGTATTGCTCTATTCCAAAACTAATGCTATTTTATAATTTTGCGATATTTGGTTGATGCACAACATTTATATATGTCTCATGTGTATGAGGTTCAGCGATATGATATTTGGTTGATGCACAACATTTATATATGTCTCATGTGTATGAGGTTCAGCGATATCAGATGTCATGTTTTATGTATAAGAGTTGATGTGTATGAGGTTCAGCGATATCAGATGTCATGTTTTATGTATAAGAGTTGGCGTTGTTACATAGAAAAAGTGCTATATTATATTCGTCTATGTTATGTGTCGCCTGACCAATTATCCACCTCGACGAGGGGTCCTCGCTCAATTTTTAAGCTTCTAGCAAAGTATAGCACTTTATGGGAAAGTATAGCAGCTTATTGTTAAAGTATAGCACTATATGGAAAAGTACAACACTTTATGACAATAATATAGCACTTTATTGCTAAAGTATAGCACTTTATTCTCTCTAGAAATTCTATAACTTAGTTGTCTGAAACCAAATCAGTTTTTTTCACAACAATGTAAACACTCGATGACCTATGTTATGTATTTATTGACCAATCATCCACAACGATAGGGGGTCCTAACGCAATTTTGAAGCTTTTGACAAAGTATAGCACTTTATGAGAAAGTATAGCACCTTATGGCCAAAGTATAGCGCTATATGGTAAAGTATAGTACATTATTAGTAAAGTATAGTACCTTATGCTCTCTGGAAATTCTGCACCTTAAGTTATCTAAAACCAAATCAGTTTTTTCACCGCAACGCAAACACTCGATGACTTACATTACGTGTTTATTGACCAATCATCCACCTCGACGGGGGTCCTCGCGCAATTTTGAAGGTTTTGGCAAAGTATAGCACTTTATGGGAAAGTATAGCACCTTATAGCCAAAGTATAGCACTATATGACAAAGTATAGTACTTTATTGGTAAAGTATAGCACCTTATTGGCAAAGTATAGCACCTTATGCTCTCTGGAAATTTTGCACCTTAAGTTGTCTAAAACCAAATCAGTTTTTTTCACAGCAACGCAAACACTCGATGACCTACGTTACGTGTTTATTGACCAATCATCCACCGTGACGGGGGGTCCTCGTGCAATTTTGAAGGTTTTGGCAAAGTATGGCACTTTATGGGAAAGTATAGCACCTTATGGCCAAAGTATAGCACTATATGGCAAAATATAGTACTTTATTGGCAAAATATAGCACCTTATTGGTAAAGTATAACATCTTATGCTCTCTGGAAATTATGCACCTTAAGTTGTCTAAAACCAAATCAGTTTTTTTCACCACAACGCAAACATTCGATGAACTACGTTATGCGTTTATTGACCAATCATCCACCGCGACGGGGGGTCCTCGCGTAATTTTGAAGGTTTTGACAAAGTATAGCACTTTATGGGAAAGTATAGAACCTTATTGCCAAAATATAGTACTATATGGCAAAGTATTGCACTTTATTGGCAAAGTATAGCACCTTATTAGCAAAGTATAATACCTTATGCTCTCTGAAAATTCTGTACCTTAAGTTGTCTAAAACCAAATCAGTTTTTTCACCACAACGTAAACACTTGATGACCTATGTTACGTGTTTATTGACCAATCATCCACTGCGACGAGGGGTCCTCGCGCAATTTGGAAGGTTTTGAAAAAGTATAGCACTTTATGGGAAAGTATAGCACCTTATGGCCAAAGTATATCACTATATGGCAAAGTATAGCACCTTATTGGCAAAGTATAGCACCTTCTATACTTTGCCAATAAGGTGCTGTACTTTGCAAATAAAGTGCTATACTTTGCCATATAGTGCTATACTTTGGCCATAAGGTGCCATACTTTCCCATAAAGTGCTATACTTTACCAAAACCTTCAAAATTGCGCGAGGACCTCCCGTCACAGTGGATGATTGGTCAATAAACACGTAACGTAGGTCATCGAGTGTTTGCGTTGCGGTAAAAAAAACTGATTTGGTTTTAGATAACTTAAGGTGCAGAATTTTCAGAGAGCATAATGTGTTATACTTTACCAATAAGGTGCTATACTTTGCAATAAAGTACTATACTTTGCCATATAGTGCTATACTTTGGCCATAAGGTGCTATACTTTCCCATAAAGTGCTATACCTTGTCAAAACCTTCAAAATTGCACGAGGACCCCCGTCGCGGTGGATGATTGATCAATAAACACGTAACGTAGGTCATCGAGTGTTTGCGTTGTGGTGAAAAAACTGATTTGGTTTTGGACAATTTAAGGTGCAGAATTTCCAAAGAGCATAATGTGCTATACTTTGCCAATAAAGTGCTATACTTTACCATATAGTGCTATACTTTGGCCGTAAGGTGCTATACTTTCCCATAAAGTGCTATACTTTGTCAAAAGCTTCAAAATTACGCGAGGACCCCCCGTCGCGGTGGATGATTGGTCAATAAACACGTAACGTAGGTCATCGAGTGTGTGCGTTGCGGTGAAAAAATATGATTTGGTTTTAGAGAGCATAAGGTGCTAGCGTTGCGGTGAAAAAAACTGATTTAGTTTTAGAGAGCATAAGGTGTTATACTTTGCCAATAAGGTGCTATACTTTGCCAATAAAGTGCTATACTTTGTCATATAGTGCTATACTTTGGCCATAAGGTGCTATACTTTCTCATAAAGTGCTATACTTTGCCAAAACCTTCAAAATTACGCGAGGACCCCCCGTCGCGGTGGATGATTGGTCAATAAACACGTAACGTAGTTCATCGAGTGTTTGCGTTACGGTGAAAAAAACTGATTTGGTTTTAGACAACTTAAGGTGCAGAATTTCTAGAGAGCATAAGATGCAATACTTTGCCAATAAGGTGCTATACTTTGCCAATAAAGTGCTATACTTTACCATATAGTGCTATATTTTGGCCATAAGGTGCTATACTTTCCCATAAAGTGCTATACTTTGCCAAAACCTTCAAAATTACGCGAGGACCCGCCGTCGCGGTGGATGATTTGTCAATAAACACGTAATGTAGGTCATCGAATGTTTGCGGTAGAAAAAACTGATTTGGTTTTAGACAACTTAATGTGCAGAATTTCCAGAGAGCATAAGGTGCTATACTTTGCCAATAAAGTGCTATATTTCACCAATAAAGTGCAATACTTTACCATATAGTGCTATACTTTGGCCATAAGGTACTATACTTTCCCATAAAGTGCTATACTTTGCCAAAACTTTCAAAATTGCACGAGGACACCCTGTTAAGGTGGATGATTGGTCAATAAACACGTAACGTAGGTCATCGAGTGTTTGCGTTGCGGTGAAAAAAACTGATTTGGTTTTAGATAACTTAAGGTGCAAATTTTCCAGAGAGCATAAGGTGCTATACTTTGCCAATAAGGTGCTATACTTTGCCAATAAAGTGCTATATTTTGCCATATAGTGCTATACTTTGGCCATAAGGTGCTATACTTTAACATAAAGTGCTATACTTTGTCAAAAGCTTCAAAATTGCGTGAGGACCCCCCGTCGCGGTGGATGATTGGTCAATAAATACAAAACATAGGTCATCGAGTGTTTACATTGTTGTGAAAAAAACTGATTTGGTTTTAGACAACTAAGTTGCAGAATTTCCAGAGAGAATAAAGTGCTATACTTTAGCAATAAAGTGATATACTATTGTCATAAAGTGCTATACTTTTCCATATAGTATTATACTTTAACAATAAGCTGCTATACTTTTCCATAAAGTGCTATACTTTGCCAAAAGCTTAAAATTTGAGTGAGGACCCCTCGTCGAGGTGGATAATTGGTCAGGTGACACATAACGTAGACGAATATAATATAGCTCTTTTTCTATTTAACAATGTCAACTCTTATACATAAAACATGACATCTGATATCGCTGAACCTCATACACATGAGACATATATAAATGTTGTGCATCAACCAAATATCGCAAAATTATCAAATAGCATTAGTTTTGAAATAGAACAATACCATGAGCTATGAATGTACACATTTGATATAAAATACAAGATCTGAAACACATTTCATAGACATATAACCACTGGTGGCCTTATAACATGCTTCCAAAATAAAAATATCTGATATATGATGAATCATAATAATCTGAATACTCATATATCCTCAGTACACATGCATACTTATGTTATAAGTATACATACTAATATAATATTAAAAAAGAAGACATCTTCAATACAGATAATGTTCCAAATATCATATCACTTTCTTCAGTGTTGTTTCCCCTAATTACTTTAGCTGCATCATCAAGCTTGTCAAGGATCTTGTGTTGCAACATAATAAACATCTCCATGGGTTTCCTTCGAAAGGAACCGCGATTCTTCATGCATAAGATTGGTGGTAGATCTTCAATGAATACATCATGTTCTAACTCTTCTCAACCAGTTCATAAAAACATACCTAGAAAATCATCAAAATCAAATATTGACAAGAGAGAACACTAAGCGTAAATTCAACGAACATGTGGTGGGCAAAGAGTTAAACTAACCTGACTTGCAATGGAGAACAACATAACCCACCTCCTCCTGCCGAATCCACTTCCTTTGAGCGCCAAGGATCCTCACCATCGTCGTCGGCTTATGCGAAAGCAACTCCTTACAAAGCCAGGTGATCTTCGACCTCCGCCATTACTCCGGGTGCTCCTCAAGTTCCATCCACTGGCGGCAACGACAAGTGCTTTAGGTTGATGGGCGAACTGCAGGGAGTCAATGTTGAAATTATTGGTGGGCTTGATGGAGGAGGGGAAGTGAAGGGAGGGAAGAGGAGGAGGTTGGTGGTAGTGGTTGAAGGAGAAGAGGAAGAAGAGAGCTCTGAGCTCAGATGGAGGAGGAGGAGAGAGGGAGAGATCAGTTTGGGGATGAAGGGTAGTTTAGGATTTTTTAAGTTTTTGGATAAATATAGTACAAATATTGGGTGTATTTGTACATTTGGGTTTAAAAATAAGTGGGATGTGATATAATGGGTCTATTGATGTTTTGAAAAGTGAATGGGTTTTTAAATAAGTTGGGGTAAAACTTTGGGTTAAAAGAGGATTTTCCCTTAGAATTAATATAAAACTATAGTCATCCACTCTCTCTACAACTTTAGAGTTTTCGTGTAATGGTTAGAGGAAATTTACATGGTATCAGAGCCTAGATTTGTGGTAGCACGCTCATCAACACTAATAGGAGGGGTTTGTAGCAGGTGTTGAGGGCGGCCGCAGGTAGAGATGTTACCAGTGAAATTGGGCTATTGTTAGAGTTGGGTGGTGTTAGCGGTAGGCTAAAGTTACAGTGAAGTAAACAGGAGTTTAGGGTAATATTTTTATAGTTTTTGACCCATAAAAAGAGCGTTCAACTTGCGGGAACATATGAGAACATAAAAATATAACCCTCAACTCTGACCACAACTTTGAAGTTTTGATGTAATGATTAAATGAATATTTACAAAATATCAATTTAATACTACTCAATATGTTGAATTCCCTTAAGTATAACATTACTAAAACATATTTCATAGGTTAAACACTAGTGCAAGGCAGGGCTGCCCCAACGGTTGTAACCGTTGGGGCAAATCATGTCCCTAACGGTTAGAACCGTTGGGCTAAAAAAAAGACCGTTGGGACAAATTGCGTTGGGGCCGATTTAGTCCCAACGGTTGCCAAGTTTGCCCCAACGGTTCTAATCGTTAGGGCAAATATTTTTCCCTTTAAAAAAAAGAAAAATATTTGCCCCAACAGTTGGAACCGTTGGGGCATATATTAGCCCTAACGGTTACAACTTTGGGGCTAATATATGCCCCAACGGTTACAACCGTTGGAGCTAATATATGCCCAAACGGTTCCAACCATTGGGGCAGTTAAATAAATTAAAAAAAAAAGAAAATTAACCAAAAATATTATGCACAAATACTGGAGATGATCATCATGCAACAGATTACATACCAGAAACATAGAGAAATCGAAATTGAAAAATCTATCGATTATCTAATTCTAACCATTCTTTGTGATTCTTGCCAAGAGTATCAGATTATAACATCATTTTGAGTTGTCTTCCATACGAGTTTGAGAGGCATGTCTTCTCTCCAAAAGACTGACTTGAATCTTCACTATCCATTGTCATTCTCACCTCACGAACAATGTATTTGCCCTTCTCTATCGGCTACTTTATTTGAAGTTATCAACTCCAACACGACAACCCATAGCTCCAATTCGTGCACCTACTTAACAAAAGATAAAAGATTTTGCCACTTCATACAGTTTTCCAATTAATCAAAGCTTAAACTGATTAGTTTGTTAAGTGCTCCCCTATGTTTTCGACATTGCATTCTGGAAAACACATGATGCATCAACTAAATATATCTCAACTCACATTAACTTTTTAAAACAATAAGTTTTAAGATGCAGTTAAATGAACTGTCCAAATTGGCTCCGGTTCATTTACATTGTATTGGCAATATATATTAGGTTTATTACGATCTTCCCTTTGTTTATAAAAATATGAGTAGATTAAACTAAAGCAGTAAAATATAGGCCATACTAATTGGATATAACAAAACAAATATCTCTCAGGTTTTAGTCACTGATCACTTTGTCATTATCATTGACCAACAGAAAAGGAAACTATACAGATGCATGCAAGATAAAACTACACCGTGCATCTCACAACTCAGAAATCAATTACTTCCTATTCCCAAACGCACCGCCAATGTCATTTGTATAGGTTGCATCTGTCAGATGCATCTATGTACAACTTCTACATACACAGATGAAATGCCCTTGTTTGTGAAATCAACATACATTAAGGTAACAAACAGTACAGTACAAATAATATATTACATACATGACTGCTTTTCATCATGCATTTAGTTTAACAATGACATAGTTTGTATTGATGCTTAATGCATATAATATTTCAAAGAACTATGTGCATCATCAATGCAAATGTATGAATTTTGTATCTTAGACAACTAATGCTTATCTTCATAGGGGGGTCAACATGCAACTGAATAAGAAACTACATGAAGCGCTAGGCTCAAATTCAGTTTGTCCATGTTCCATGGGAGGCATCCAAATAAGCATCCACACCATAGGCCATGATTTATTTTTAAATGCTTATAAATATGGATTGTTTACTGAAGAAATATTATAAATTATATTGTGCACTTTACAGACCTAAGGCATCAAACAAGCATCCACACCATAGGCATATCTTCTTTAGGTGCAGCTAAGTTCCAATGATATAGAGACTAACTGTCATCCTAAACCTGTGTCTGTATAACACATAACCTAAAACCTCATGCAGACACCTATGATGTTAGTTGATGTATAAAAGCCAACGTAAGTAAATCTAAGATTATATTTGCTATAACGTGATACATAATGCACTAACTGAACGAGTATTTTTTCTTAAAAGATTAAAAAAAATTAAAAAAACTAAGATAGTAAAGAAGTGAGTATATTTACCTTGGGTGCGGAAATAGCCTTAGAGTCATCCTGTGGTTAGGCTTTCAACCTGGCAGATCCATCAAAAAGAGATGGAAGTTCAAGAATAAGAAGCTCTAAACCTATGGAGAAACAAAATTTACTCATCAAAATTTCTGGAGATTTATGATAAAATACTATGTTAAAAGTAATGATGATCATCAGAATAGTAAAAGCTGCAGGAAATAAGGCAACTGTTATGAGACAAAGAATGGTTGAATATTGACAGTAGCAAAGTGAAAACTTTTCCATTCAATATGCACCCACACACAATCTGGCAACAAATAAGATGGTAATATTGACAGTAGCAAAGTAAAGACTGCATATCTGCCTAAGTATACTTCAAAAACATCTTCGGAGCTGATAAAACAATATTTGAACAAAAACATATGTGAATAAAAAGAAACAACTTTGAGGTTTTCACCCAAGCGTTCGAGATTGATTACATGGATCTTTTCTTTTCCAGTTATATGAAATGCACCAATCGAGCCAATCATACCTTTCCTCAAACTCAGGTTTCTAGGTTGTTAGCCAGCACAATCAACAATTTTAGTCTTCCACGTAAAAGTAAAACCATCACAGATGATGCTCCATGTCTCATATTTGATCAGAGACTTTGCACATAAACATCATTAGTGCATCTACAAACTCTTTTCCACAGGCTTCTTCACTGCCTAGTCAAATGTACGAAAGATGGCAGGAGAATGGGACAAAAAATCATACTCAAGAAAAGGCCGACAAATAGATGTCAAGTTTAATTGAAGGCAAGAAAAAGAATAATCAATGATAAAAGTATAATACGAAACATCAACAAAGACAACTTGAGACAAGTGTAAGAACAAACTTCTGACTAATGATTGGAATGAAGGAATTGAACCTTTCTTCTTATCTAATTACAACTCAGCTTAAATTTTTCTACAAGTACAGTTGTCTTTTTATCCTTCTGCCACCTAATATAGTCCTACATTCAAACACTAAATTAGCACAAAGGGGGGAAAAAGCAAAACTCATAGTACAAAAACATCCAAATTAACATTAAATGGAAGAAAACACAGGAATTGAACCTTCTTCTGATTCTCATCACCATCCTCCCTCTTTGGCTTCTTCATATAAAGATTCTTCTTCATATAGAGTACTTATAGAAAATTTCAAGATGATAATATCTAAATATGAAAGGAACAATATAAAAGAAATACCATAAATCAAAAGAATTTCATTCAAGTAAGCATAGTTCTCAAATGATGATTTCCCCAAGCAAAATCTGAAAAGAACTTACAAGCAAAAGATAGAAGAAGGCAGCCTCACTGGAGGTGGCAAGTAACAGTCGATAGTCTCGCTGGAGGCTTCTCGAGTAGTAGAGGCTTTTTGAAGGTGTAGATAACCCTAATTAGAAAATGCCCAAAATTTTAACAAATACACAAACATTTCAAATAATTTTCAAATTAGGGTTTAGGTTTTGAGGAAGAGTACCTACAAGTGGTTAGGGGAGGCAGCAACAAAAGGTGCTCTAGTGAGGTTAGATACTATGCCAGCCATTGCAAGTGCTCCAGCGGGAGTCGCTCAGACAACGAGAGCGTTCGACTAAGTCGCTGGTGGTGCCTTGGGCGGTCGCTGATGCGTACCCGGTGGTGGCGGCGGGGGGGGCGGGGCTACTACGGTTAGGGGTCGGTTCGGATGGAAGAGACGGGCCGCCAGAGAGAGGCTGCGTCCTGGTGTGCTGGGAAGATTAGGTAGGTCGTTATGGTGCTCGGACAAAAGGAGCTCAACACGAGGGAGCATAGAGCGGTGACGATCTCCCAAAGGGGGTGACCATCTCCGAAAGGTGGTGACGATCTTTAAGAGGCGGCGACGAGCTCCGATTTAGGATAGAGAGGAGACCGATTTCTAATTTGGGGGAAAATTGGGGCTGACTATCTTGTCACTGGAAATGAGAGAGTATATTTGAGGCGGGGATTTTTTTATGTTAAAAAATTTGGGGAAAAATTCCCCCTAATTCTTGCCGCTGAAAACAGCTATGCCCTAACGGTAGGAACCGTTGGGGATGATAAAAATTGCCCTAACGGTTCAATCCACTCGTTGGGGTGAGCATCTTTTTACAAGTGAAATATGAGAAATGGATTGACTATTAAAGGGATTTGCATATATAACCCTCATAATTATTAGATTAAAGAGTAATATTTGCAACTAGGTTCATAGGGTATATATACCCTAGGGGTGCATTCGGTCCGGATACGGCTCCGCTATGATGCTTATCATATTCATATCCACTTGCCCATCTCGGATACGGATACGGATACAGATATACCTCGGTAAGAAAAATTTATAACCATATCCACTAAAATCGGATACGGTTATAGATATACATGCGGATATATAAGCGGATATGCATGCAGATACAAAACAGATATGAGAAAACTAGATAGTATTGAGAAAAACATAGTTCATGTGATACAAAAGAGTTTGTTAATATGTCCATTATAATTGAAAAGTTAAGATTAGACATCTTGATCATCAAAATTAACCACAAATCCATAATCTAAGAATCGAAACTATCATAAGAGTATGACTAATATGTATTTGGATATTTTGGATACGGATAAGGATACGGATATTTCACTACAAAGCCATATCCGTAACCATATCCTATCGGTTATAGATTTGAGTAACCATATTCGTATCCTAACGAATATGGTTACGGATATTTTCACGGATACGGATACAGTTTAGCACCCCTAATATACCCCTTTAATTAAGGGTTCTTTTCTTTTATCGAATTAAATACCTAGAGAAGGAATTTCACAAGAGAAATTGGTCAGAGTGAGAGAGAGAGAGAGGAGGAACGGCAAGAAGAAGCACTCTACAGTGCAGGCAAGTGATTCTCCACTTGCTTTTGATCAAAACTTGGTTCTTTCAATCTCTTTATGTTCAATTCCTTGCTATAAACCCTAGAAATCTTTTTCAATGTATTCTAGTGTCTATACTTGTTTAACAATAGATCAAATAGTTTAATCCTATACGAACACGTTTAAAATACCGGAATTGACAAAACATGCATGAAAATATGGACACCTAGTTCTCTCTTGTTGTCATGATTTTTTTACTATATGAAACATGGTCTAAACTATGTTATATAGTTCCTTAGATGTGTGAAATAATAGAAGCGAAGACGGGAGTTGAAATGGCAAAGAAACGCCTTTACAATCGTCCAACAACAACCTGTGTGACAACGATCAGCTGGCTGGCCCAATGGGTTGCCCACTGACTGATTTCTGAGCAGACAGAAAATAGTAACCTATCTTTTTATTACAGAGCTGACTGAACTCCTAACCAATTGACCGATCCCGTAGGAGTCGCCTAGTTAAGGTGACCGGCTGACTGGTACCTGGTTGATTTGTTTGTTAATTGTTTGATGATTAATCAGCCGAATGGCTTTGTTCCGGTAGACTTCGAGGTCGTTTAGCAGACCAATGACACTATTAAAAAATAAGGTTTTGCGACTATTTTGGTACTGGTATGAAGTTCAAAGAGGCTAATACACTTAACTGTTTTTTTTTTTTTTGACTGAAAACAGGGTGAGATACCTTGCATATTATAAGTATATATATATGTAAATTATGTTTCTAACAGTTAGATACATGTCCAGCGGCTGGTGATAGTCTGACCAAAAAAAAAGAAAAAAACATCAAAAAACGGTCTAATCTCTCAAGATGGCCTGCTACACAAAAAAACTAGAGAAGCATCTAACCAAAACACCAAAAGCTTCAGAATAGAGTCTTCACGAATAACTGGAAAGCGACAAAGGAGAGCTGGGCCGAGAGACTAGGAATGGAGAGAGGAGGACAAAAGAAATCAGCCTGCAGTAGAGAAGTTGTCGCCCACATCTCCATCACTGTTTGCTTGAGCTATGTGCTTCAAACCCAGATTGATTGCCGCTTTATGGAGCTTAGGTCCAGATTTACTAGTAGAGGTGCCTGTCCAAAGTAGAACATATCTAGCAACGTTAGAGGCAATGCGATGATGACATACATCGATACCATTAAAGATGAAATTGTTTCAGCTATTCCATATACACCAGCAGAAGCACGGTAAAAAGACTCTCCATAATAAAATGATGTCCTGATTGAGGGCTGAGTTGAAGTTAGGAGAGATCAAATCATCCAAGTTGTGAGGCCGAACTACTGATGGCACGAGAGGAAGAAGAAGGGACCACGTTGAAGACGAGATGACACACCTAATGAATAAATGGTCATGAGATTCGATTACCTCATTGCAAAGAGGGCAGAGCGGACTACCTCCCCAACCTTTGGATATCAGATTCTCCCTGGTGTTCAACTTTTGCTTGCTAGCAATCCAAAAAAAGACTTTTACCTTCAGAGGGATGGGGGAATTCCAAATGAAGTTGTGGTGTCGAGAAGTAATTCCACCAGAGGTAGTGAGATCGTAGAATGATTTGACAGAGTAAGAGCCTGAAGGGAGATAAGGCCAGAGAAGCTTGTCATGAGTAGCTGTATCTTTGATTGAGAAGTGGGCAAGGTGATTAAGGAGAGCATTGGTCTCATTCTTTGCTATCTGGGTGATACCTCTCCTTAAGATTGCATGCCAGTGCCAGGTAGAAGATTGCATTAGTCCTTGCGAAAGAATGGAGCAGTTTTTAGAGAAGGCTAGGAGGTGAGCATAAGGAAACAAACTACTCAGGGAATTAGGAATTATCTCCTGTCCATTTATCACTCTAGAAATTACAAGTTTTTCCATCCCCCAGGATCCATTTCACATGACTGAAGAAGGGAGAACTGATGGAGTGCAACTCACGAATGAATTTAAATGTCGAGCTCTTGGGTGGGTGACCAAGAGGATTAGATTGATCTCTTGAATATAATGAAAAGAAAACTTTGCTAAGAAAAGAGTTTCTATCCATGATTTTCCAAATCCACTTAGATAGAAGAGCTATGTTAAAGGATGATATGTCTTTGACCCCCATACCTCCTTCAGACTTAGCTTTGCAGACAATTCTCCAATTGACGAGACACTTAACTTTTGAGGAATGAGCCTGACCGCTCCATAGAAAAGTTCTCCTGATTTTGTCAATGGCTTTTCTTAACCATGCAGGCAGTTTAAGGAAAGACATATAATACAAGGGGAGGGAAGAGAGAACTGAGTTAAGCAAAGTAAGTCTCCCACCGATGGACAGAGATTTATTTTTCCAAAGTGCAAGCTTCTTAGAAAAAGAATCCAATAGGGGTTGCCATTCTCTTCTAGAAAGAGATCCTTTTTTCAATGGCAGACCGAGGTAAGAGAAGGATAGTTTACCCACAGCACAATTGAAAGAGCTGGCTAAACTAGCACCCTTGAATGGAACTTTGCCTAGGTAGTAGAGGCTGGTATTTGACTGATTAATTTTGAGTACAGAGATGTTAGCAAAGAGAAGGAGGACTGTTTTGAGAGTTACGATGTCAGAGTGAGCAGCTTTGGAGAAGATGATTGTGTCGTCTGCAAACTGAAGAGATCTTATGTGATTTAGTTCACCTTTTAGGTGAAGGTTAGAGAGATCACCTGCTGCAGCACTGCTCTTGATCATCTTACAGAGGACATCCACTACCAGAAGGAATAGCATCGGTGATAGAGGGTCACCCTGCTTAAGGCCACGGTAGCAATTAAAGAATTTTGTTGGGGAACCATTGATCAAAACTGATGATTTGGACGAAGAGAGAATGGAGTGGATCCAAGAGCACCAGAGAGAACCAAAGCCTCTATCCTTGAGGAGTCTCAAGAGGAAATTCCAATTGACGCAATCAAAAGCCTTGGAGAAATCTACCTTAATGGCACAGATCTCTTTCTTACCAGAAGAACAAACATTAACCATCTCATGAGCTAGGAGAATGGAGTCCAGAGTGGATTTTCCACTTTGAAAAGCAGCTTGGGAGTTATCAACAAGGTGGGGGAGGAAGTTCTTGAGTCTATTGGCCAAGACTTTATAGAAAATCTTGCAAGTGCTGTTAATAAGACTTATAGGTCGGAAGTCAGATGGGGTACATGCACCATCTTTCTTGGGGATAAGACAAATATAGGAGTAGTTGATGTTGTGGAGTAGATGTGGGTGGGAGAAGAGGGATTGAATGAAAGAAACTATGTCGAGGTGAATGGTAGACCAAAACTTTTGGAAGAAGAGAAGAGGCAGCCCATCGGGGCCAGGGGATTTCTCAGGATGAAGATCAAAGACTGCAAATTTTATTTCTTCAGGGGAAAAAGGAGAGTCGAGGGGTGATAAATCTGAAGGGTTATCAGGATATAAAATATTCCAATTAATGGCCATTCTTGATTCAGGGGGTTGGAGGAAGAAGTTGGAGAAATGATCATAGAATGCTAGTTTCATGTCTGAGTCTGAAGAAATAACAGAGTTATCAATAAGAAGATAGGGAATGAAATTTTTTCTCCTATGGTAGGAAGCAGTCCTGTGAAAGAAGGCCGTGTTGTTGTCTCCCTCTTTCAACCGTTGAACTCTCGATCTCTGCTTCCACATAATTTATTCTGCCTTAGCTAACTGATAAAGGTGATCTTTGACACTA